CGAGAACTTGCGTGCACAAAATCGGTAAGAAAAAAAATAATAAGAAGAAAAATAGTGGAAAAGAAACCTAAGAAAAACAATAAGGTCTTCCGCTGAAGACGGAAGACCTTAATAAGAAACAATAGAATCACTATAAGGTCTTCCGTGAAGACGGAAGACCTTAATAAAAGTGAAGAAGAAACAATAGAATAATAGAAGGGTCTTCCGTTGGAGACGGAAGACCCTAATAATAATAAGAATAATAATAATAAGAAACAGAGTAAAAACAATATGTTCCCCAACTTCGTTTGGGGAACATAATTACAGTAACCCCCCAAAGGCGCCGTTTATAGCAATTTTTGATTATTTTAGTGAAATTTTTTAATAATTCTAAATGGAGTCACTAAGACGTTTCATCCAGACAAAAAAAAACATCAATGAGACATTTAAACCAAAAAAATAAGACTGGCTGCATGGACTCAAAGCAATTGAAAACATTGATTATTCTTCCGACTAGAGGTGCACTAGATTTACTAGCATACAGTGACCAATGCGGTTTTTTTAACCAGTAACATTTCACTCAGTAGCTCCGAAGGAAATAACTAGTTAAACCTTAAAGGGAACCTTTGCCCAAATTTTTTAAAACTTGGACATTCTTTCCTTGCCATGTGGGGATCCGGGTTAGAATACCTCCTCAGTACCTCCTTGCTTGTCATAAAAGGCGACTAAATAGGGCGGTCCTTCGGATGAGACCGTATAAACCGAGACCCCTTGTCACAGCAGGTGTGGCACGATAAAGATCCCTCCCTGCTCAAAGGCCGTAAGTGCCGAGCATAGGCCTAAATTTGCAGCCATTCACCGGCAATGGTGACGTCTCCATATCAGTGAAATATTTTGGAGAGGGACGTTAAACAGTATACAATCAATCAATCAATCCTTGCCACTTGCCGCTTGCTTTAAATTATTAGACTTTTTTGGTTCATAAATAAACAGTCCTTTGAATATTTCTTAAAGCAATTGTTATTTAAAGTCCTCATACATATCATATCCCATGGAAACCACCATACCTCTTTTATATATGTTAAATTCAGAATGTTTCTTTTACGTTATGCAATAAAATAATGCAAGAATTAAACAAATGTGTTGTTTTAAAGCAATAAAAAAACTTCAGTTGATTCAATGTTATAAAAAAAAGTGAAAGAATTACATGAATATTTTACAGAATGTTGTATTGTATCAACTTTTTCAAATGCCTTGCATGTTAATAAACAAGGTGTTTCTGAAACACTAATGCCCCCGTTTGGCAACTTATTGTGAAGGTTAAATCTTCTGCAAATCAAATACATTTACGTTGGTACCCAAGGTAAGGACATGGTCTTTTTACAAGAAATGAAAAAACTTATAAAGTACCACCTGTTCAATAGTTATAGACAAGGTTAAAGTTTTTTAAAAGTAGGTAAAACTCCAAGGTCAATAGGTTAAAGTTTTTTGATATCTAAAGGAAGAACTTGTCACAGGATTACGTATATTAATATGACAGCCCTAGCAATTACCGTTCAAAAGAAATCTCCGATGCAAAGGTTAAAGTTTTTAATGTAGGTAAAACTCCAAGGTCAATGGGCCAAAGTTGTTGATATCTAATAGAATGTCTTGTCAGAAGGATTACATATGTGAAGTATGAAAGTACTAGCCCCAATCGTTCAAAAGTTATGACAAAACTTAAAATTTTTAAAAGTAGGTAAAACTCCAAGGTCAAAGGGTCAAAGTTGTTGGTAACCAATGGAACGTCTTGTCACAAAGATAACATATGTGAAGTATGATTACATTCTCATACCCCTAGTGCCCTAGCACTAGCTGTTTGAAAGTTATGGCCAAGGTTAAAGATATGTAAAAAAAAAAAAAAGCAAAAAAAAAAAAAGGCAAATCTGGGTCAAACTCCAAGGTCAAAGGATCAATTTGATGGTATCAAAAGAAAAGTCTTGTCACAAGGAATACACATATTACATATGAAAGCCATGGTCTCAACCAAAAGTCATTTGAAAGGTTAAAGTTTTTGCGGACAGACGGGCAACCAGACCAACAGATTCACATGTAAAGAGACAGACAGACGGACGAACATCGCAAAAATTTTATACCCTCAATCTTCGATTAGGGGAGCATAAAAATACAGGCAATTAAAATCCACCTTTATTACTGAACTGACCCTTAAACACAAAATCTAGATCCATGAATTTTGCATTCATGCAAAAGGAAACGTGTATACTGAATAAGTGTTTTTTGTTTTGTGTGTACACGATTTTCCTCAAAGTCTAAGGTATTGTACTCCAGTATTATAAGGTCGATATTAGCTTTTAATTTTACATATTCTATTAGATGCATTCATGAACACCTACAATTAAGCACTAAAGTATCTTCTATGCCAATTAAATTTTTTTTCATTTTCCCTGATTAAATGCAAAAAAATGTCTTTTAAAACTGGAGGTACTGTGAAATCACTAAAGGATAACCCCCGCCTCCCATAGGGTTATAATGTCAAAGTCCTTCTTTTGCTCTGGGAGACCCAAAATAAGTGTCATATCAAAACAGAAAATAAAAGGTGCACAATGGCATTAGACCTATGTCACAAAGAATCTATGAAAGTTTTATTTATTTTTCAATGATATAGGAGGAATTGCGGTTAAGATATGGGTAACCTGGAATACTACAGAAAGTGTGGCCGTGTCCATGTCTTGCTCTAGCAGGTCGAGACCACTACCTTGTATCACGGCGGAGAATCTACGTCATCGGACGGGATTAGGACACACAAAAATGGAGGACAAATGCTCCGCTTCGATGTAAGAAGTTGATATTTTTGCATTTATAAAGAATGAATATTAAATCAGTATCCTGCCTAAAGTATGCCAAAGAACGTCAACTACAATAGACAATGTACGTTTGCTCGTGATAGAATCTTATTGTTCGAAACACTTCGACACAGTTTGAAAACAAGTGAGAAAAAACCGGGATGTGGGGTACACATTTTTAAAATTCGACCAATTATTCGCATGTTCAGATGTACTAGACATTTTATTCTTCTGCGTTTACACTAGAACTAATATTTTTAAAAAATCCTGATTTTTTAAATAGTTTATTATGCTTTAATTATCCAAGAAAAAAGTATAAATCATTTTATTTTCAGAAATGATGTAGGGCACACCAACACTAAAACGGATATGGGACACACAGTAAGTTACTTTCAAATTGAAACATCGAGCATTCATATCTTAAAGTTTCCATTTAAATGACTGCCATTTGATAGTATATGAACAATAACCTGTACAACTCATCTTTGTAATACTCATCCAAATACTTGATTCCCTTGGTTTGCTTGTGTATCCATACAAAAATTATAAGTTGAAAACGCTGGTCTGATCTCCAACAAAAGCTTCCAACATGAATTTTAAATTTTGACTTTTATTAAATTCCATGTAGAAATTTACCGGTGTTCACTTCTGCAGATCCATAGAAAGAGGGGGGGGGGGGGGGGGTTCGAAGTCCGGAGATTGTGTTAATTTTATGATATTTCTATTTTAAGTTACTCATCGGATGAGGAAAACGCACTGTAGCCAAATGTATGGATCCCCTGTGTGGAACCTGCCCTTATTTAAAAACCGGAGAAAATTTTACATTTAAATGTGGTAAAACGTTTACCGTCAATGCGAATATGTCATGCAAAACTAGAAATTTAATATACTGTATGACTTGTACTTCATGCGGGGAAAACTATATTGGACAGACCGGTAACAAACTAGCTGACCGTGTAAGAGTCCATAAACAACAAATACGAGACCCCTCCGTCAGGAATACACCTTGCAGTGAACATTTTGATTCATGTGCGAATGGAAACTTTTTGATATTTCCATTTTATAAAATCACAGAAGATAATGGACAATTACGGAGGGCCAAGGAAGATTATTTTGTTAAATTATTTCAGCCTAAATTAAATGTAAATTGAACATTTTAGCTCTAAAGAAATGTTCCATTTTATTACAATGTACATGTGTTTAACTCTATACATTTGGCGCTTTTTTGACATTTACCTGTGCCAATGTATAACGCTGCCTTTGTGACGTCATAATAACGACGTCATAACAACGAAGTTGTATTGTTTTTATTATCATTGTTACACTCTGAAGAGCCGTAACGGCGAAAGCGCTTAGTGTAAAAAATTAAACGTAAACTTGTTTGTTTATCTTGGATTTAATTTTGATATATATATATATATATATATATATATATATATATATATATATATATATATATATATATATATATATATATATATATAGAAAAAAATTGACAAGGCAACAATGTTAGTAAAACGTAAGCGCTTTCTTCATTATTTCTTCAGACGTTTTACATTTGAAAACAATTCAAAAATGTGACGTAATAACGTTACCTGTTGATAACGTCAACAACAATTCAATGACGTCACAATGCTTTTAGAGGAAACAATAATAGAGCCAAAGTAAAATAACATAATTCATAGCGTAATACATAATTAAGTCATGAGACATTTTATATTAAACTATTTAAGGATGGTTTAAAAATATTTATAAAATGTTTTTCTTTTTCCCGTCTTTCTAAAACGCTCTCTGTTTTGAGTTTATAAAAGGGATAAACTGTGAATTGTCCCTGTCCACAAATATCAAGATGTTCACTGAGTTTTATTTTTCTGTACTCGGGTTGGTTGATATGCTGTCTGTGTATACGTATGCGAGTGCGAAGGGCGGTCCCGGTTTCTCCTATGTATAATTCTCCGCATCCAGCGCATTTCATACAATAAATAAGGTTTTTTGATGCACAGGTCATGTCTGCATTTACGGTAAATTTCTTATTTCCGAGTGTAAAAGTACTTCCCTCTTTAATAAATCGGCAAGTTCCACAACGTGAATTGGAGCATGTATTGACCGTGTATGAATTCTGTTGTTGAAATACAGATTTGCACAATATTCTCCTGAGGTTTTTAGGTTGTCTTTTACTGTTGATGAATTTATATTTTTCCAGCACTTTGGACATTTTCTCATCGGTCTGTAGAAGGTTGTTGAGGTGACGCACTGTAGGGGTAATATTCCTGTTCCTCGGATTGTAGGTAGTTACAAGCGGTAATATTGAGGTATCCGGATTGTCACTATTTGAGGAATTAATAAGTGTTTCTCTATCGATTTCTGTGGCCTTTTTTATCCCGTCCTCAATGATTCCGGAAGGATAACATTGTTCAAGTAAATACTTTTTCAATTCATTTAGACGTTTATCTCTTGTTTTCTCGTCGCTAACTATTGTGCAGACTCTTCTAGCTAAATTGTACGGGATCGAGCGTTTTGTATGGCTAGGATGACAGGAACTGAAATGAAGGTATTGATGTGTGTCCGTCGGTTTGTAGTATATGTCTGTCGAAAGACATTCTCCATCCTTTTTAATTAAGACGTCCAAAAATGGAATACTTTGTAAACTTTCTTCCATTGTGAAGTTGATGTCAGGATCTAGATCATTCATAATATTTAGGAAAGCTGCTAGATTCGCATCGCTGTCATTCCAAATTATAAAACAATCATCGAGGTATCTTTTCCAATTGTTCTTTATATTTTCTGTAATTTGTTGGTCAAAGTACCGAGTTGTTCTTTCATACATCTTTTCTTCTAGATATCCTAGTGTGAGGGTGGCATACGTAGGGGCCATTTTCGTTCCCATTGCTGTTCCTTTCTTTTGTGCATAATGCTTGTCGCTAAAGGAGAAAGTATTATTTTGCAATACTATCTTACTCGCCTCTAAGATGAAGTCTTTGCTGAAACGCGCATTAATTTTTTGTGGATATTTGTCAATCCAGTATTCGAGCGCCTTGACACCAAGATCAGTAGTAATATTAGTGTACAGGTTGGTAACATCCATTGTGATTAGTTTGGCATTATGACTAACATTTTCAGGTAGATGTCTCAGAAAATCCAGATCATCACGAACATAACTTTTTACTTCTAAGCATAAAGGTTTCAGTAATATGTCCATAAGATGACTCAGCCTTTGTGTAGGAGCATTGGGTCCACCTACGATAGGTCTAAATGTGAGATCTTCCGGATCGTTACATGTAACATATGCAGAGTTTTGTATTTTAATCGCTTCCTTTATTGTTTTAGACTTGTGTATCTTAGGAAGTCCATAAAATGCACTTTCTCTGAAATCAAAATTTATTAAGAAGTCCTCTTCTTTATCTGTTAAACAGGACGTTGTGTTGTGGTTCTTTATCAAGTTTTTGATTTTTCGCATTGTCTTTTTGTCACTGTTTTCTGATATTTCATCGTAAAACTCGCTGTTATTGAGCATTTGTAATATTTTTGATTTGTAGTATTCTGTGTTCATAATCACTACTGCACCTCCCTTGTCTGCTTCTTTGATTACGATTGAACAATCGTTTGTCAGTGATTGAACAGCCTTTTCTTCTTCTTTTCGTAAATTACTTCTTGTATTAATTTTTTCATTCCTTAAAGGTATATTTTGCAGCGTATTACAAACAGTGTCAAGGAGACTGTTCCTTCCTTTCTTTGGATTAAAATTTGATTTGTTCCTTACAAGATCACTTTCAGACGTGTTTTCGTCTTCGTCATCCTTATGAAAAAACTCTGCTAGTCTTAATTTTCTTGTATATTCCTTAATATCCTTAGATAATTCCTGAAGATTAGAATTACTTGGTGTTGGTGTGAATTTTAATCCTTTTGATAATAACTTTATTTCAGCTGCATTTAATGGCCTACTTGACAGGTTTATCACTTTTGGGTCTATTGCTCCCAAGTTTCCCTCTGTCCTTGCAGGTATTGGTACTGCTGAAATCTCTGCCCTTGGCTCTGTTTGCCTCCTCCTAAAAAATAATGTGAGGATTTCTTTCCTATGTAAGTTGTCCCATTTCTTCTGAATAAGTTTCCAGAATGATTTACAGACTTCATGATTGACAATTTATGTACACCTGAAGAAGGATTATGAGATCCAGAAAGCGCTTGTGTTAAATGAAATTTGGAAACTGCATTTTCTTTTTCTTTTATAATTATTTTCACCTGTGTGACATCGACTGTGAACTATTTTCAACTATATATATATATATATATATATATATATATATATATATATATATATATATATATATATATATATATATATATATATATATATATATATATATATATATATATATATATATATATATATATATATATACGAAGTGTACTGAATTATTTTATATTTAGTTATAGCATACTTTTAGTATTCCATGTATATATAATATGATTTCCTGAGTATGAAGCAAACACTGTCTGACCAGAGAGTATAGCGTGAGTGAGAACATGTAATTTTTTTTAATATAAGAAAACAAGAATTTTATTCTTGACATGTACATTACCTATGGCAACATCTGAATTAATTAAGACTGTCTTTACCTCATGGCTTTGACATAGAAGTTTAACCTACCCTTTCAAAATGTTTCACATTGTCCATAACCTTTTGTTTTTAAAGAGACAGGGCTTTTCTTGTCTGTGTATTAATATTGACTTGTGATTCTTTGATATTTGTCCTCATATGGCAAAGTTTGATGCAGTTTTGAAATTATTAAATATTTACAACATTCAATAATCTTTTTTGAATGGTGGACAGACCAGCATTATTATGATATGTCATAGGTTATTGCATTTATCTTAACGTCTTTACATCGAAAGCGAGATACCACAATTCTTTAAATCTGCTTGGGTTTTTTCTGCGAAAACAGATGTTTAACCTTGCACTTTAGATTAGATACCAGTAATGTTTGGGTTTTCCTTTCGTGTGTATGCAGGTGAAAATTAATGTTATCAAGTGCGTGTAAATGAACATTTATATATACACACTTTAATCTACCATGTACTTGAATGGCTCTGATTCGATGTCGAATGTATTCTATTACCACATTTAGAAAATTCATTGGCCGACCAACTCTCAAAAATGTTTAGATATATCTCAGAATTCTCAAATGTTTTCTGTCCTTTTTAACATTATTTCAAGTAGTCAGATTGCAGTTATTTATGATATAAAATATATCAGAAAGGAGTATGTAGTATTCAGTAGGGGGTAGAGATAGGTGACAGGTTTTTGAATTACGTTGTTCAATCGGCTTTAAAAAAAAATGAAAATTAAATTCATGTCTTTTTGCGTGCAAGAGTATAACAGTTGGGAGGTATATTTACATATACAAACGGCATGAGACCATTTATCTCCGATGAGACAGCATTAATATACCAGTAACAAAGCAAACGAACGCTCTCTGAGATGGGAAAATACATTTCACCCATCACTGCAAGAGGATAATTCAAAATTTCAGAGTGCCTTAAAACCACCTTTAGGATACATAAGTTACTTGTATTTAACAAAACGAAAGTTGGAATATTTATTTGTCGAAAAATATTATTAAAATAAATAAAATACGTTTTTTTTTCTTGAAATTTTGAAGTGCTTGTAAATCAGTCTGTGTATTAATTTTAGTTTATAACTCAAAACATGCCATATATTATTAATGCACACGGTAGGGGTAATCTATATGTACAAGTGACACTGCATGGGGTTTGTTTAGATAACGATTTAATAGCAATTTAATGCTCAAGTTTTACCTCCTCGCACTGCACAAAACACGTCCGTGTAGATGATTTTCCTTCAATATTATAAATTTTCAATCCATTTTATTCAAAATGATCGAACATATCAGTACAGAAAATACTAGTTTGTTTTACACAAAGGACCAATTTTGATTGTGACAATGTGTCATAGATGATTGCATCTTAATAAAATGTCTAAATATATATGTTATACTTATTCTGAAAATAATAATAAACTTGAATTCAGAAGCAGGTACTTTCTCTTTCTGACACACATTCAAAGGATGACTCATCTAGTTTGCACGGTTTCAGAAAGTGTACATTGTAGGTAATGCAAGACTGACTTTTATAGGATATGACACGCAACAACTGGAGTAACATCGTCATCTACCAAATGTATTACCATTTTATTTCGTCTCTATATGAGTGAAATATTCTCGAATGGGATTAAAACATCTCACAATCAATCAATCAAATTAATTTTGTGCATTATCTTATGAAAACATTCTAAACTTGGTACAGAACAGCATTTTAGATTGAAGAGGCCTTCATCTTTGTTAATACAATGTTTTTATAAGTTGATCGTATACAAATAGTAATTTTGGTCTTATTTTCAGTAATCAAAAGATACAAATTACTTATTTAGTAAGTGTCATCTTTGAAAATAAAAGTAGAGGTATTGTGAGCACTGTTGCGTTTAAGAGACTGTAAACGAAGTTTCGGGAATATATAGTTTTTGCCCTGTCCGTCTGTCTGTTGAGCTGTCTGTTTTTCCACAAAAACTTAAACCTTGCCTTCAACTTTTGAATGGGTGTGCCTATTACTTTCGTATTCCACAGGTGTATTCTTTGTGACGAGATCTTTTTTTAGAACCACCAAATTTGACCTTTAGACCTTCAAGTTTGACTTACTTTTACAAAAAAATACCACACTTTAACTTTGGCCATAACTTTTGAACGGTTGGTCTTATGAATTTCATACTTCTGATATGTATTTTGTGTGTCAAGACCTTTCATTGAAATTCAACAACTTTGACCATAGACCTACTTTTTAAAAAAGCTAACCTTGGACATAACTTTCTGGGGAATTTATACTTTACACATTTCATGCTTAAAGCAAGACCTTTCCAATGATAACAACAAATTTGACCCTTTGACCTTGACCTAGAAGTTTGACCTACTTTAAAAAAAAACTTTCACCCTGGTCATAACTTTTGAACGGTTAAATTAAGCTAGGGCTTTTATACTTCAAATATGTAATCCTTGTGACAAGACCTTTTTTTTTTTTTAGAAACCACCAACTTTGATCAGAATACATTAGATATTGTGAACGCATTTTGCAAATGCGCTGGATCTAAAATTAATATAACTAAAACAGAATGCATTTTGCTTGGGAATATGAAAAATGCGTTTGATAAGCACTGTGGAATTAAAGTTACAAACAAAGCAGTTAAATGTTTAGGTATCTACTTAGGTCATGATAAAGAGGAATGTTACAATAAAAACTGGATGAGAATATATCATGATATGGAAAAACTCTTTGAATCCTGGAAACGTAGAAAATTAACTCTTTTTGGCAAAGCGTGTATTATTCGGACACCTGTTATTTCAAAATTGATATATACATCGTCAATTTTATGTCTTCCCGATGAGAACTATATTAAGAAAATTCAAAGATTAATTTTTAATTTCATTTGGGAAAAAACGGAGAGAATTAAACGGAACACACTGATTGGTGACATATCACGAGGCGGACTTTCTATTGTCGATGTTGAATGTAAACTAAAATCATTGAAAGCAGCGTGGATTCCACGATTACTAAATTCAAAAGGTTTACTGTTTGATATTTTAAATGATTTTTGTAAAAAACTTAATGTTGATATCTATTATCTTTTAAAGCTTTCATCAATAGGCGTAGATAGCTTAAAAAATATACATGTTCCTTTATTTTACAAAGAAGTTCTAAGTTGTTTTAATGAATGTAAAACTGAATTAAACTTTGATAAAAGATCTTCTGATGATATTTTGCAACAGCCAATCTGGAATAATCGTAATTTGGTCTATAAAGGAAAAGCTATTTTATTTGACAATTGGATTAAATCTGCAATTTTATATATATATGAATTGTTTGATGACAAAGGGTGCATCAGACCACTTGAACATTTTTCCAATATAATTGACAAATCTAATTGGCTATGTGAGTACAGAATTCTTCTGTCAGCTACTAAGAATATTCGAAGAACACACAATTTTTCAAATGCAAGCAACATAAATAAACAAAATGTAATTAACTTCAACTTCCTTTTAGGGAACTTCAACATACAGCCTACTCCGGATATATTGAAATTCAGGGGACCATGCAAATTATTTCAATATATCCGTAATTCAATATAAGCGAAATCGCGAAGCCGCCATTTTTTTCATTATAAGTTCAATCCCTATCTTAAAATAAAGAACAAACCCGAACAAATTAATTTTGTCATCGTTTACCTAAAATAGTGCAGAGAATATATGGAAATTTGGTCCCTGAAAGTTTAGATAAAATTGTTTCTTTCTTTTTTATCGATAAGACAATCTGCAACTTCATTATTATTCCCCGATCGCATTTATTTACATTTTGGAAAAGAATCACCGATGTCAAACTGTTGAGTACTGCTGAATGCTGCATGTATTTCATCGTAAGTGTACTCGGATTGATCTGTTAGCTATTTCGAATTTAGGTCTATTTTTAGCCATTAACAGTACGTATTGGATTTAAAAGTTAAGTTTTTCTAGATCTGTCGGGGTTACTATGTTGCCTTTAAATACTCAAAATACTTCCGTATTATATACACGGAAACAAAGAATTTAGCAGTAAATAATTTTATTTCGTAAGAGCATGCAGTATAAAAACAGATAAGGTGAAAACTTAATTATTCACACCTTTTTATATCAACTGGTCAGTCAGGCATAATTTCTGTAACCAACCGTAACGACAGCCGCTAGGGAGTACTTCAATATAACCGTTATGAAAACAACTCATTATCACCTGTGGGGACCGATCAGTGGCTTCAATATAAGCGAAATTTCAATATAGCCGATTTCAATATATCCGTTATTTTAATGCAAAGAATATGAGAGTCAAAAACTGAGGATTTATTTTTATTTCAAAATAAGCGGAATTTCAAAATAAGCGAGTTCAATATAAGTGGAGTAAGCTGTATCAGGAAAATCAAGTAATTTTTTCTACAAAAATCTTATTGAAAAAAAGTTTTGTAAACCCAGTTTTCAAGCCATATTATCTAAAGATTTTGGAATATTTGAGGAGTCAAGTTGGAAAAATATTTATGAATGTAAGAGTTTAGATATAAGAGATAAACACATAGCAGAATTTAGCTACAAACTATTGAATAATATATTATGTAACAATGCTTATGTGAGTAAGTGGAAAAAAGATATATCTCCTATGTGTATACATTGTAACAAAATAGAGAATGCAAAACATCTGATTTTTAAATGTGATAATGTGTCTAATATATGGAATACTATAAGCAGTTTTTTATCATTTAAAATTCAGTGGAAACATATTGTTGTTGGGTTTTTCCATGAAAAAAATGATAAAACTAGATCTCTTAATTTACTTATTACGTATGTGGCATATAGAATTTATAAACATAAAATGTTATGTAGATTAGAGTCTTTAAGTGAAACTGAATTTAATTTATACAATCATGTAAAAATATCAATTTGTTTCTACACTTTTGTATTACACTTTCTATTTGTTAACACTGGGCTAAGGATTTTTGAAAATCTTTCAAAACTAATGTGAAAATTATATATTC